CTCACCCCCTCCTTCCCTGTTCAGAAGCGTGAAAGAGAAGAAAAGCCTGCAGGCAGATCAGAGGCTTCAGATAGCCGTGAGAGCGTAAGCAGCAGCTCTCGTTGGATCATGGGCAACTCCAACCTGAAGCAGCACATAGAGACTGCCCAGAAGACGGGAGCCTGTCAGCTGAGGCATTTGAGTCTTAAGGAGGTAACAGCGACTGTGATTAAGTACAGCTGGGCACAGATTTTAACATCAACTCAAAATAAAATCTTGGATAGCTGGTACTCATACAATTTGCCAATCCCCAACTGATATCTCTTTAATTTTTTGTTTGTTATATTGGTGAAACTGATTTATGGATGTGTTGAACACATTTGTTGATCTCTGATGTATTTGAGTTATCTGTGTGCTACTGTATATTTGACTTTTCTTCTGACTCTTTTCTTTCTTAAAAGTAGTAATACCAGAAGAAATAGTTCAATGTATTTTTTTCTTACATTGCTTTGTGAATTCATTTAATAATCAGCTCCGATTTATTCTTTATTGGACTAAAAAAAATTGATTGAAGTTTAGATGAAAAAAGTGGTCTAGCCTTCCCTTCACTAATGGTCAGTGTTCAGTTAAATTTACAAAGTACTGATTCTTTGGGGCTGATGAGCTGTGTTTGTACAATTAGTTTAATGTTAAAAACTACTTGGCTGACCATTTTGAGCAAAGGGTAGGAAAGATATTTGCTTTCAATTCTCTATGATAAATTTTTTTTAAAATTATTTTTTTTATTGTAGAAGGTTTTACGGCGCTCGCAACTGCATAAGGTCATATGTACGCCAAGGGGTGGATGTGTACAGAGAAGTCTTTACAGGGAATCAGACTTAGACTGCTCACCTCTCTAGCTTCCACAGCACAAAGTCTGCTTCGACTATCAAGGCACCCCAAAATAGCAGGTCACAAGAGAGTGACAAACATACAAAAGAAGTAGAGGAAAATGACAGTAGTGAGGATCAGGAAAGAAAAAGCAGCAGTTCCCTGTTGTAGTTCAGGCACAGTTATGAGCGTTACATGAATCAGCCCATTTACAATTCTACTGTGCTTGAACGAGATATGTGCCCCCCTTTGGGAATGGCCTAAAGACACTACAGTCAGTGGCATTGCCCCGGGGGGTATATGATAAATTTAATTTAGTGAAGTTTTACAAAAAAACTTACAGAAAAACCACTGTGATGTCTGCAGGGACAAATGAAATATTTATTGACCATCAACGGGAAATGAGCGTCAGTGTCTAGTTCCATGACACTCTTTGCACAGTGTTGACTGGCCAAGTCTTCAAGTGTTCAAACTAGGCCTTATTAAAGCAATAAGACTTGTATAGACAAAACGTGCTCTAGGAGAAGAAAAAAAGGTTAATGCAGGCTGGAAGGGGGGGGATGGTTGCTGAATTTACCTGAATGTTTGGCCCACTGTTTTATAAACGGAAGTCTCCAGAGAGAGTGGAAAGAAACATATATATATGTATTTGAAATATGTATATTTTTGTTTGTGTCTCTTGTAATGCCCAAGGCTTTGGCTGGGAAAATTTTTTGAGTAAGTAGTGAAAGTGCTCACTCTTTTCATGTTGTCTTTATCTTTTTAGAAAAAAATTTAGTTGATGTTTATTTCATAGAGCACTTCAAAAATTGAAATTTTGAGTCTTGTCATGTTGATATGGGGGTTTCATGTTTGCCAATTTGTTAGGGAGGCCTCTTGTGGTTCTTTTCACTTGTTACTGTTCATTTTTTGCCTCCAAATTGGTACATTTTTCAGAACAAAACTGACTGGTCCTATCCTTAATGATTGTATCTCACAGGTACCGGAAGAACTTCAAAAGTTGTCCAAGAACTTGCGCACCGTAGATCTGTCTGATAATAGAATTCCCCATCTGCCTCCATGGTTTGTCACTTTTGCAAGCCTGAAAAATTTGACTATCAACAACAGTAGACTGGGTAAGTTTCTTGCTTCATGTGTTATTTTCTTTTAAGGCAATTGTTTTCTTAATTCACCGAGCACCACACCCCGATTTGCCTCCAAGCCCCAGAGGACCACCAATTTCTCCCACTTTTTGAAAATTCATAAAAAATTGAAATGATATGCTATTTCTTTTAAATTTTCTGTGCTATTTGATAAGATATGGGTTCAACAGACACAATAGACACATTTTGTAAAGAATGAATGACAAAAAAATGCATGGGACAGAAAGTTGAGACAAATTTGCTTCAGAAAAAAATTTTTGAAAAAAAAAAGGGAAGTGATGGACAAAGCAGAAATCTAATTAACTTACACAAAATAGTTGTGGCCGTGTGTGTTTTTGTGTTGGAGAATGAAGGATGAGTGTGTACAGTTAAGTAGCATAAAAATGTAAGTGATAATTAATCTTGAAAAAGAATAAAAATAGATCTAGAATCTAGATCCAGAGTCTAGATCTAGATCTTCCTCGGTGACAGGCTGAGAAGTGTTTTCATTGTCAGTGCAGCTAGTGCTAGGACTAGATCTGTCCAAGGTCTGGGTACATTATATATCTTCTCCACTTTGAGGGCTGATTTGAACTAGAGTTTAGTACTGGGGCTAGATCTAGATCTATCCCCAGCTGGACCAGGCTGCGTACTTGCTGAGTCAGATTCATGATCGAGAGACGATGTTGGTCTAGACCTAGATCTAATGTCATTTTCTCAGTCATCTTTATCACTGCTAGGCGAATTCACATTTTGATTTATGAAATTACCTATCTGATACTTTACTGTCACTTAAATCTTCACCAAAATTATAAAGAGTTTCAAGTTTCAATAAACTTCAACACAACTCGCCTTGCCGTGCTTCGTGTACGAGAAACAACAACAAACTGCGCGGAAGTTCCTACTTTCGTTGGACAAATAACCCGTTTATTCGCACTAAAAGGGGTAAAATATGTACTCCAACCACAAAGAACTAGCTTGTCGATATCCTGTTTAATAATAATAATAATAATAATTGCATTTATATAGCGCATATCCAGGCTCAAGAGCATGCTCTATGCGCTTTACAACTATTATTACCCCAGCAGACACTCTGAGAACACTCAGAAACATTCTCGGCTTCCGCGGAAGCATACAGTGCAAGCTGCGGATTTCACG